CTGCACTATCATCACTATTACTAACATCGATAATGGAATCATCATTATATCTAATTTCCCCATCATCTTCCTCTTCGCTACTCTCACTTTTGACAAAATCATCTTCTTCATCCACCAATTGCAATGTGACATTTTCCTTCCTTCTAATTTCTGTTTGCCGTTTAGTTTTCTAGGTATTTTATTGTTTTGTTTGGGCCAAAAATTCCTTTTTGAATGGGTCCTTTTCTTTTTTAAGAAAGGTCATTTCTGATTTCTTTTCATACAATTGAAAAATCAAATTTTAAATGAGGCGCACGCCTCATGCTCCAAGCGTGCGCCTCAGATTTAGAGGCGTGAGCCTCATATTTTTAGCTTCAAAAATACTGTCTCGAGGCATATTACATACGCCTCACTACCGCCTTCTTAAACCATGGGGGAGGCTGCTTCATTGTGCCTGCAGATCCTAGGCATGAAGTTCCCAGACAAGGGCAGATAGTATAGAATTTTAAGGACCACGTCCTTGGAAAGGGAGAGATACTGAATTCGTTGCAAATATTTATAGTATTATATTTTGATTGTCACTGAAAGGTAAGAGTTAATTGCTCACTGAATGAGTTTGACAATTGGACCCTTCTTATGAGTCTTATTTGAGCTGTAGACGTCGTGTAAATTTCTAATGTGTAGAAACTTGGAATTATGACATATAAAACTTACCATGGAGGAAAAAATGATTATTATTTCCCCGTTGTTCATCTCATGTAATTGTTAAGACTGATAATTTTATCAGTGCTTGCCAATGAGTGCATCAGTTCAGTATTGATCCTATTTCGACTTTCCAGGGCTAACAAAACAAAGATCCTTGAATTTCTGTGCAACCAATGGGCTACTGATCGTAAAGCTGAATGGTCAATCTGGATGGTTCACACTAAGGCTGAGATGCCTCACCAGTATATAAGTAGTGAGGTGGCCGAGTCTTCTTACCACGCATTGCATGGTAAAGCACCAGTTCTACGGAAGTTAACTGGCGATGTAATTGCACTAACACTTCTAACTTCTTATTTGTTCATAATGGGCAATTCTTCTCTTAGCTATGTATTCCGGGTTTTATTTATTTTTGCTAGTGATCTGTGCAGCCTGTCCAGACTGCGGCTATGCGAGCAGAGCTTCATAGGCGAAGTATTGCACAAATGAGGGTGAGTTCTCATAAAGAGTGCAAAGTAATATTATCTTCAGTGTGTTGGGTGATTGAGCAGGTATTGATTCTTAACAGATCAACAATCGGTGTATTCAAGATATGCATATATTTGGAGATCCATCTCGCATTCCCGTTGTAATTGTAGAACGTGTTGTGGATGTACCTTTGCGTTCAGGCAGTGGAAATTCTTACTTCAGCCAACTGGACGAAAAAGGTAAAAGCAGTCTAATCTCTGGTGGTGACTCTACTCCCACAAACAAGTTATCTTTTGCCAGCACTCGTCAAAGCGGTCGTGTCCTGAAGATTGTAGTTTTTGTCCATGGATTTCAGGTATGTTTAATAATAACTATGGCATAATGAATTCACAGTCCTTTTAGCTTGTCTCTATTACCAATTCATGCTTGTGGTGTGCATTACCTCTTAAAGTTTAATACTCCAAAAACTTCTCCATTAGATTGCTGGTTCAGTGGTTCAAGATTTGTTGAAAGTTACTTGTTATTGTGTTGTCTTATGTGTGGCATCTAAGGAATCCAGGTGTGATACTTTCTCTGTAGCCGAGCTAATTGTACTTTACACATGGTAGCACCAAAATGACCCAGTAGTGAAGAGTAACCCACATTCTATTTGGAGTGGGAACTCTGTAATCACCCAAGAAAGAGGTAGAAGAAAAGAGGAGGGAATAGTTGAAGATGAGAAAGTGGAGAAGAGAATGCCAACCCTTGCAAAGGGATTAAGAAAATCAATGCTCACACAATTCAATTTCTCATCGACTAGCCACTATTAAAATGAAAGAGATTAAGCATTTAGAGACCTAAAATCGACATCTACATCTTACTAAAACAAGGAATAGGACTTCTAATAGGAAACTTCTCGTTAATTAATTGTAAGGCTAACCCTCCAGCAGTTAAGATCCAGATAAATATTGGATAAGAATAAAGTATTTAATTAAAACTTAAGGATCATAATTGCTGCAGATATGATAACCAGAATACCCTGGCCTAAAATTACTAAAGAAACAAATTGAAATCTAATTAGGAATGATTCTAAGGAGGAATACACCTAAAATAATTTTGGGCTATAAATAGTCAAGGAGCCTTCTTAGATATTGTTAATTGTGTTATGATCATGCAGGTCTATACTACTTTTACATTCTGTAGTAAACAACTTTATAGGCTTATTTTGACTTTTATAATGTTTCTTGTCATGACTCTGAAAATGTAAAGTTAGTTTTCTGTGTTGTATCACATTGCATTTCTACAAGTTATTGTTCTAGGTGTGTAAAATTTCTTTCTCAATTTTGACATGTACAGGGACATCATCTGGATTTACGGCTTGTCCGGAATCAATGGCTTCTGTTAGATCCCAAGGTAGAATTTCTTATGTCAGAGGTTAATGAAGAGAAAACGTCTGGAGACTTTAGGGAAATGGGACAAAGATTGGCACAGGAAGTTGTGTCTTTTGTGAAAAAGAAGATGGACAAAGTCTCAAGATCTGGAGTCCTCAGAACCATTAAGCTTAGCTTTGTTGGACATTCCATTGGAAACATTATTTTGAGAACTGCGTTAACAGGTTTTGATGCTAAAACTTGAGGGGTTTCTCCAATTATCTTCAATGTTTCTAAATATATCTCTTCTTTTGCAGATAGCATTATGGAACCATATCTTAGATACTTGCATACTTATCTTTCTGTTTCCGGACCACATCTAGGTTACCTATACAGTTCAAACTCTTTATTTAATGGTGGTTTATGGCTCTTGAAAAAGCTCAAGGGCACGCAGTGCATTCATCAGCTGACTTTTACGGATGATCCTGATCTTCAAAATACATTCTTGTACAAACTTAGCAAGGTACTGTTTTGACTCTTCACATTCCCCTAGTATGTGTTTCTGTTTTTGTCCAGTGTGAACAGGTAATTAAAATTCCATATGGCCCTAGCTGGATGAGATGTTGAGAAGGTCAAAATTGAGTTCTAGGCATTCGGAATGTGTTTTTGAATCATTATGTCCAAATTCTTTTTCATTTTCAATGTGTTGAATCTTAGCCCCTGTTTGGGCTCCATTATTTCACATTTTAATGAGGAATACTAATTTTTGGAGAATGTGAAGTTGAAAAATAAGGAAAAGTTTTTAGGTTTACGGGTAATATTATTTTATTGAAGAATGTGTGGTTGATAAGAAGAGAGAAAATTTGAATTTTAATTTAATGGGTGCCAAACAGGGGCTTATTATATCCCCAACAAAATTCATAAGCTATCAGTATTATAATTTACCGTGACTGAAAAAAAATGGCAGTTTCTACTTTCTCGCCCATTGATGTTCTTATACTTTCTTTTCTCCATATTACTCAGGAAAAGACATTGGAGAATTTCAGGAATATCATTCTGTTATCTTCACCCCAGGTATTTTACTTCAACATTTTTATGAGTTCATTTTGTAGACCATTCAATGGTTGTCCCACAACTTCTTGGGAATAAACAGTTGTCTATGCATTTCTCTTCCACCAATCTTCCATTTTCATGTGAATTGTCAACACGCCTCATTTTACTCCTTGATTATATGTTTAGTGATGGTGTTTCCCTTTATGAATAAATTGATTTCTCTTGTCCTAATTTCTTATCTTCTTTGATCGCCTTTCTCTTCTTGTTCCTTTTCTTGTTCATTGTCAAATTGTTACGTTCCTGCGTCACATGGAGTACCACCATGTCGTGAAAATGTACACATGGGCAGGACTTTTTCGAGTATATTGTTTGAAGTGATTAATTTAGTCTTAGTAGAAGGTTACTTGAGTTCAACAGAAACACTATGGCATGTCTTAGGAAGAAAAGGAACCTGAAATCTTGTCCACTGTATTGTCTAATCCTATATAATCATACGTACCAAACATGCTCTTGCTGAACTTAAAGAGTTTCTCAGAAATGATCTCGTATTCTAACTATTTGATTATTACGTGCTCTCAGGATGGTTATGTTCCATATCATTCTGCTAGGATTGAAATGTGCCCAGCTTCTTCAGGCGACTCCTCAAAAAAAGGCAAAGCTTTCTTGGAGATGCTTAACAATTGCTCGGACCAAATACGTGCACCATCTGCTGAGCACCGGGTATTCATGCGATGTGATGTTAATTTTGACATCTCATTGCAAGGGAGAAACCTCAATACCATAATTGGACGGGCTGCTCATATAGAGTTCCTCGAAACAGACATCTTTGCAAGGTTCATAATGTGGTCCTTCCCAGATTTGTTCCGTTGATTGCTGTGGTTATTGACATTTTCCATGCATCTGCATAGTATATTCTCGAGCCTTCATCGAGCACCATCGAACCTCCAACTTTTAGACAGAAGGAACGATGTTATCACTGAATCTTGGGGACGGTATTCCCGAAGGTAGAATTTCATCTTCTCAATGTCCAGACTTGCAGGTGCAATGAAATATCCAGCAATGTAAATTATTTGCTATATGTGCTTCACAGCCTTCACTATGAGATCTTCCATCTTTAGCAGGCAGTTTAAAACTTAGAGGTGCAGGGTAAATTAATTAATTTTTTAATTTTATTTACATAGAAATGTATATGGTACACGAACTCTGGGATGATGATATTCGAGGGTGATAAATGTAAAGCACCACGACATATATTGCATTACGAAATCGAGCGTCTGTTATTTTCGTTACCATCAGTAGTCAGCTTGCACTGTATCAGTATCAAACTGAATAAAAAATTATCATTAGACTGGTTTTATGCTACTTTTGTGGTTATGAGGTGAAATATTTTCAGTTTGTGACAGTGTACTGTAGATTATATGCTTGACCCATTTAGAAAATTTTATTTTGGCTGAGATACTCGAAGAACAGAGTAATAGAAAATATTTGTATGAAGGTTAATCCATTTGTACATAATGGTTTGTACATAATAAATTACCCCTTCTCACATAATGCGGCCTGCGTGTATTTAAAAATTCCTGCAATGTGGTCCCCATCCCCATTGTGAGTAGTAGGGAAAAAATTCGATAAAAAAATTTGGTACATCTAGAATGATCCTGCCCCTCCACATCTTCCTCTCAATCCACGTACTTACAAATCTTCACAGGAGCACGATGGGATCGTCTTGGCTTATCAATATCCTTCTTTCACTGGATCCTTGTCCTCAAGGTCTGTGGTCTGGAACTTGTCCTGGAGCTGTGCAGTATTTTCCCCCGTAGCATCCTCCTATGGAAATCGACACCATTTAACTAGACTCTCCTCAACAAATTTCGACCTTCTTTACCCGGCGGATTTCCAAAATAGATTCAGGCTCCATAGCAATTTCTCATTATTTGATATTACGGTGCAATGGTTACTGTTAAGCGCTACGATAAATAGTCATTTTCAAACAGATTCTTTTCATAATTTTTTTTATTGATGTCATCTTCGGTACGGATATGTTGCATCTGCATTGTTTGTAATAGACATTTGACACTTAACCAATGTGAAATTCTGTCGTGATGGAGAATGACATAACCGAAACAAGCACATCAGTTTGTGGTGGGAAATCTCTCTCTGACTTGTATGCACACTGTCACACAAGCACAACACACTGACGTGTTTGGGTTTCTTGTGCAACCATATTCATATTCTGATACTGCCAAATTTTCTCCAATTTGGATTAGGTTCTCTGATTCTTGAAATGGGGGCATTGTCACGTATAATTTGAAAATGCTGCTTTACATGCTCTTCGTAAGTTATAGAGCATGAGGTGTTCCTTGAATCTTTTGGGAACTACACTGGGTGTAGAAACTGGAGCATAAATAGAGCACTCATCTGGAATCGGGGCTGGTATTGTTTGTTGCTAAAATTTATTTTATTTTTTTGAAAACTCTTTGTTGCCAGATTTTGTAATCAGAGTCCCAAGTTTTTCACCCTTCTATTCTCCCTTCTCCTTCCCTTTTTTGGAGAGGGATTGGTTGAAAAGAGAGGTTTTAATCGTTACTGTTCCTTTTTTATTCTAATATTCATAGCTTTAGAAATGGTCGGAATGATCCAACGGAATTACTTTGCGTGGAAGGCTATCGAATCTGAAGTTATAAACGTTTATAATTGTCGTACAGGTACCATCAAGCTTATATGAGGACAGGAAGAGCAACATTTTGGCAACTTACAAGCCTTCAGGCATTTTGGCCTGGCCAGCAGATTTTCCTGCTATCCAATTGAATGGGGAAGGATGCTTTTCATTATTGTTAATGGTTATGGGCTTATGGCAGTCAGGTTCTTGTTGGGGACGTTGCAATCAGGGGCGGACCTAGACCATTTGTCTTGTGGGGTCAAAAATGAGAATTCAAAAATATTTAGAACTACATATCATTAACGAAAATAAGTCAATACGCTATTACA